ATATGTTGGCAAAAAATGCTGGATGTATGAACTCAAGTCATTTTGAGGTAAAATAGTTAGGTTTTTGTTACAAAAAGACAATTTAAGACATTTGATTTGCCCTCAGAGACAACACAAGCTGATGACATAGACAGTCTTTGAATTATTTAAAATACAGAGTACAAAACAAATGATGTGCTAAAGAAAGTAGATGGCTCAGATTTAAAGCCAGCCAATGAGTCTGTGTGAGCCTGGAATGCAGAATAAAACTTAGTCTCATATTAAGCAATCAGACAAAGTAATAAACAACAAAAAAAAAACAGTAGGTGTCTGCATTAAATGTGCAAAATATCTTTTATAGATACATTTAAACAATAAAGCATGATTGTTAATTATTGTTTCATTATTCAATGCCTGTGTGGTGGTGTCTGCCCAATTATGTTCTCAAACTGGAACATGGAGTGGATTCACAATGTATTTTGAAATGCTTGCCATAGTCTAAAATGAGTAATTGTGTGTTTACCTTATGGAAGACTCTTTGGTCAAAGTATGTTTGCCGAAAGAATAAGCAAATGAATAAAGAAATGGTGTTTTATCTACTAATCTGAATTCTTAGGTTCTGCTTGATCCCTATACCATTTCTCCTTTTGCAGAATAAACATAACCTTGTTTGTTTTAGTTATCCCTCATCTTCCCTTACAGAAGACAGAAAAGTCTCAATATATTGTAAGGATATAGCTACAGTGTGTGGTGTCAGTATCAGTAATCACTAATTCTCCATGCACATATCAAAGGTTCATTTAAGCAATTTAGCATTTTCAAGTTTCATGATAAAATAAATGAAATCGTAAAACGATCCTATTACCCGGCTCTTCCTCTGTGGAACATTCCCTTTGCAGTCTGAGTCACAAAACCTCTCCTTCTTGCATACCTCTTGAAGATTAGTAGAGAGGGCTCTGTAGAGAATGATGGCACCACTGTTGATTTTATACTTATTCAATATATTAAAAGAGAGATAACGTGACTAATTTCAGTTGGCAAAATATCTAGGGTGTTATCTGATAAACAATGTATAATCTGATACTTGATTCAATAAGAAAATAATTATCTTGATCAACTAATTCAAACTGTGCCATATCTCCTATTCTAAAATTGAATTAGAAAAAAACAATGTTAATGAGTTTGTAAATATAATCAACCTTAGAGATTAAAATAATATTAATGCAATATTCCAATATAAATATAAAATCAGAATTGCTCACAACAATCAGAAAATATATTTTATACTGTCAAGTGACTAAAAATGGGAAATAATTATTTGGTATTGTCATTTACCAGCAAAGATTTAAAAATGAAGTTCTAGTGATATCTTGTATGAAAGGATAAGGTAATCAGTGTTCAATAACACCAAGAAAACAGGAAGAATCTTTGAAATTATGGATATGTAGCCTGAACTGGTCATTTCCTATTAGGCAAGACTTGCAGTGGGGCAAGGCAGCCACATAAACTTCAATCTACAGTCTGTCCTACTTATGGGATGTGCTTGAGTAAGGATGACACAGAGATTGTGGCAGTGGTCGAACAATGATTGGTCCATCCTGAGACCAATGCTATGAGATTTAGCCCACCCCGGACACTGCCGGAAGCACCAGAATCCAGAAGCAGGATGGCCTAGAGTCATAGAACCGAACACAGCTGGAGAAAAAAAATGTCCATGTAATGCTGCCTATTGATATTCTGCTATACTCATAGATTGGTGCCTAGCCCATTAGCCATCAGTGAGGCTTCAGCCAGCAATTGGTAGAAACAGATGAAGAGGCCCACAGTCAAACATTAGGACTAGCTCTGGTAATCTTGCAGAACAAAAAGAGAAAGAAGTGTAGAAGTCAGAGGGGTCAAGGACATCACAGGAAAAAAAAAATCACAAGGAAATCATAGCATCAACTAATGTGGGAACATAGGAGCTTGCAGACACTAAACTGACAAACAGGGAGCTTGCATGGGACTGAACTTGACCCTATGCTTTCATGTGACAGTCGTGATGTTTGGTCTTTTTGTTGAATTCCTAACCGTGGGAGCAGATGCTGTTTCTGAATCTTTTACTGGCTTTTGTCCTAATGCTTTGGCTGGCTCTTAGGAACCTATTCCTTTAACTAGGCTTCCGTGCCAAGCCTCAATACAAGGGCATGTGCTTAGTCTTACTACAGCTTGACATAGTGTGCTTGTGGGAGGCCTGCCTTTTGCTGAATCGAAAAGTAGGAGGAGTGAATGGGGGAAATCAGAGAGGAGGGAGAGGCAGGGACTGTAAATAATAAATAAGAAAACAAACAAACAAACAAATAAAACTCTTTTCATTAATTACTCGTGTATCTTTGGTTAAAGTGATCTGCAATTTCATTATTTTTTCCTTAAACAACGTATTTTTTTCTTCTTAAGGTTAAATTAATCTGCATATATTTGCATCAAACATTTCTAGTAGACATCTAGACTTGATTTCAGGTATTGTCTATAACTAATAATGTCATAACAAACACTTACAGGCAGCCTTGTATTACTGTGCTCCTGTCAGGGTACATTGTAGAATAGCTGTTATGTACATTGTGTTTAACTTTTGTTTCCTGGGGCCTTCCATACTGACTTCCGTAGTGACTGCCAAAACAATCCTGGGCAAAATGAGAATCCTGGAGATCCCACAATACCTGCTTTTGAATTTTATTACTGAATCATAGTAATAAAATCAACATGCTGCTGCTTAACGAGGCACATAAACAATAAAAGAAATTGTGTGAGCAACAATAAATCCATGCATCTACCCATTGTTTTTATTAGGGGTGCCAAACCCCATATTTTATGATTTTTTCAGAGAAAAGGGAAACAATATAGAATTACTGAAAAAATAATATATGCACATAGAAAAGCATAACTTGTATTTCATTGTTAGTAAAATGATATAACTAAAGTTGATTTCTATTTGTTGACAATTTGGTATAATTCCATACCTAACAAAATGATGAAGATGTATTTTCAAAATACTGATTTTATTCTTCTAATGTGCACTAATAAATAGAAGTGCCTTCTCATCTTATAGTTTTATTCTTGACTTTTGAGGACACTCATGCAATGTTTTAGAATGACACTACTAATTTACATTCCTTAGCACATTTCACAATGTTTTTCCCTTTTATGTGTATTCAGCTGATGGTTTGTAATATTTATCCTTATTTTTATATTTTGCTGTTCATTTGAATATCTTGTTTTAGAAATGTGAACTGAGGGGCAGAAAAGTTGGCTCAACTAATAAAGAATACTTTTCATCCAAGTCTGATGACCTAAGTTCAGATCCTTAGAACCGACAAAAAAGGTAAGAGCTGAACACAGTCATACTGGTACCTGCAATCCCATCACAACCTCACAGGGACATGAGAAGCAGGGGAGAGGTGACATTCTCAGGTGTACCAAGAGTAAACAGGATACTGTTTCAAGGGTTAACAAGACGGTTAACTCCTGAAGTATATTTCATGGCAAACATTCAGCTGTTCTCACAATACAAAAATACACACACATACACTCACATAAAACAAGAAATATGTATTGGGCTGGGCCTCATTCTTAGAACTTAATAATATTTTTCTTTGTCAGTTCGCCTGAACAGTTATTCTTGCTTGTTTTACTGTTTCTGGCACATAATCTTATTTTATCCATATTTTAATTAGCCATATTACTTTATTTAAGGAAAAGAAAGTTGAATATTTGTTTTTTAATGATTCTTCTGACTCACTGAAGTATGTAAATTTTTGTCTTGGCTCATTTTCTCAATGTAGTCACAATTATATTTTTTTATAAAATAATATGCTATATTATCGGTTTTTAATATTTGTCCACAGTTAGATGTTATTGTACAATCTAAGTACCTAAACTTCTCTGAAATAACTTTTCTGCTCATGCTGATGTATAAGTAGTAGGTTGTATTTAATTTTTGTTTGGTCCCTACTTCCTCAAATAGTAATCAGGGAAAAATCCCACAGGTATTTTTGCATGCCGATCTTATAGAGGGAACTATTCAACTGACATTATATCTTCTAGGGTGTGTCAAACTGACAATAAAATTTTACCAAAATATTATGAGTACAATCAAATTCAGTGAAATTTAGATCCATATGATCTTATGTTTTGTTTTGATTAACAAGTACTAATTATAAATTATTATGGCATATAGTGTGATATTCCAACACATCTATGCACTGTGTACATAAAATCATTGTAAATAGAATACATGTTTTAAACATTTGCGGTTTACTATTCTAGCTATTCATAACTATCTGTTTATAAACTATAAATAACTCACTGATGCTCCTGAATGAAAATATTTATTCTAAATATGCTTAGATAGCTGTTATCTAACTTCTATATATTCTCTTCCTTCTACTGGGCCTATTACTGCTGCTATTTTGCTTTCAATTTGCTGAAAGAATCAAGTACAAGTCTTTAGTTTTTCTGCATTTTTTTCCTTTTGGTGTTTATGTCAGTGTGCATGTATGTGTGTGTGAATGTGTGTGTGTGTGTGTGTGCATATATGTGTGCGTATGTATGTGAAGGCCCACATTCACAAGCAAAGATTTGTTTCTAAAGATCCCATCTATCAAAGTTGAGCTCATTGATAAGACAGGTTTCTCACTTCACTTGGAACATTCTGAATTAGGTAGGCTGTGAAGTCAGCAGGTGCAGTAGGACTTGCTACTGCTCTCTGTTCCCAGTGTGATGATCACAGGCAAGCAAGCCTTATACCCACTGCTTCATTAAAATTCTCAGTTGCTAGTGAGGAAGAAACTGGAGCCCTCCAGTTCATGTAACAATTTGATTGCTAGTTAATCCATCACCTCCATCCATTTTCCCTGATTTACAGTCTTTCCTTGGACTTTTATTAAACTTTCACTGTGCCAGCTGGACTGTGACTGAAAAAGCATGGGATAAAACCAGTCTCTCTGAACATGGCGGACAATGAGGGCTGATGAGAAGCCAAGGACAATGACATGGGGTTTTGTTCCTACTTCGTGTTCTGGCTTTGTGGGAGCCTAGCCAGTTTGGATGTTCACCTTCCTAGACCTGGATGGAGGGGGGAAGACCCTGGACTTTCCACAGGGCAGGGAACCCTGACTGCTCTTCGAACTGGAGAGGGAGGGGGAGAGGAGTGGGGGGAGAGGAAGAGGGGCGGGAAGAGGGGGAGGGAAATGGGAGGCTGGGAGGAGGCAGGAATTTTTTTTAATAAAAAAAATAAATAAACCACAAATTTAAAGAACATTAAGCATTTTAAATAAGATTCAAGGTAACTATTTTGTGGAAATAATCTGAAGCTTATAAATATTATCAAAATTAGGGGAAAATGCATATGAATTAGGTATGAGGAGAATAAGACTCTTGATCAAATAGAAGGGGTAAATTTTTATTATCAACTCAATTGAAACAGTGAATAAAATGTCTAACATATCATTCCGCAATATAACTCAGCTATAGTAAAGCCATTTGTTATTTTCTGATAAAAAAAAAACAAATTATAATTCTTTGATTTACAAAAATGATTTTTCATGATGGTAATGGAAAGGCTAGTGTAACTTGGCCTTCTTTTCCAAATATGAAAATTCTAGTCAAACCAATCCTATAACATTTCTTTGTGAGAAAGGTATTAAAGCCTAGAAAGCCATGTTAATATCAAATGAAATGTAAGTACCCTGCTATAGAGGATGCCTAGAATAATTATGTGCCCATTTTCTCATTTGAATCCTGGCTCTATCTCTCCTGGCAACTCTGTATAAATGCTGAAGTGTCCTAAGTAGTTAATGTCTTCCTAGCTGTGACAGCTAACATCCATTAAATTCCAATTACCCAGGCTTTAGATCTCTAAATTACAATCACTGACACCTTGAAATTAGTTACAATACACCAGCTAAAATTACAAATGTTTTTATTTATTTAATTTTTTTTTAAAAAAGAAAAAAAACCTTTTTTTAATTATACATACCAATTCAAGTTCTCACTCCCTTCCCCCTTCCCATTCCCTCTAGAGAATGCCCACTCCACCCCCATGCATTCTTCTGATATGGCAAGACACATTACTTTGGGGAATGTTTAAGGCCCTCCATAGTATATCTAGGCAGAGCAAGATTTCCCTCCAAAGAGTATAGGTTCCCAGAAAGCCAGTATAAGAAGTAGGAATAAGTCCCGGTGCTATTGCCAGTGGTCTCACAGTCTGCCCCAGCCCTGCAACTGCCACCAACATTCAGACGGTCTAGTTTGGTCCTATGCTTGCTTCTTCCCAGTCTGGCTGATGTTGGTGAGCTACGATTAGCTCAGGTAGACTAATTCAGAGGCTGTACCCATCACAGTTTGGACTTCTTTGCTCATATTCTCATTTCTCTCATTCTTCAACTGGAATGTGTTCTTGGAGTCATTTTTTCCAGTATTTTACTGAGTATTTTTGCATCCATGTTCATGAGTGATATTGGTCTGTCACTCTCTTTTTTGGTTGAGCTTTTGTGTGGTTTTTGTTTTCATCTCCATTTATAGTACATGGGACCATGCTTAACGTGGGCCAGTATCTTAAAAGGCTATTGGCTGAAGGAGTTCCCACATCACCTCTTTTTGTCTAAATAATAGAGTTCTAAGCTTGATACAAAACTATATAAAATAAGAACAAATATCAAGTATTGTCAAAGGAAAAGAAGAGACAAAACATATCTAAAATTAGAATTATAACTAGCATGAACAACAACAAACAAGAAACATATGCCAAATGTTTCAATAGTTAGCCTATCCTAAGAAGTGTAAGTCTTATATTAAAAATGGCTTGGCTACTTCATGAGAGGAAAGTAACTATGACTATCTAGTCTTCAAACCCATCAAAGGCCTAAGAAGGGAAATAATATTACTGAAATAAACAGGAAGTGCAATCAAGCAACTTCCAAAAAGGTGTAAGAACTGACAGAGACGACTGGCTACCTGGGCAATTCCCCAAAGTCTAATTTGCAATGTTGGGGAAACTAACTTTTTCTAAGATCTGGAGTAACTGACAGACTATTTCCAGAGGCAGGAAAATTTGAAAAACCATCTTACCCTGTCTTTGCAAGGTTTGGCTATCTTTTTGCTTGTATTCTGCTTGTCCAGTCTGGACCCCATGCATTTTGTCAGTAGTGGAGGCAGGAGCAGTTCTTTGCCCCAAAACTAGTTTTGCTAAGAAGAAAACAAGCTCCAAGTGGAGTGTCCTCAGTGCCCAACATTCTCTCTGGAATAGACTGATACTGCAAGAAGCAATTGTGTCTCATGTCAACATAATTCTAAGTTGTTTAAATGTCATATTCTACAGTTCTTGAAATGTTTGAAGATTAACTGTCTATTCAGAATATAATCTTGAGGCAACTAAAGAATCTAATAAGTTTAACTATGACAAACATGAATAACTATTAACCTGTAATTATTAATAACTGTATAGCTTAAAAAATAAGGATTCATATTAAAATATTAAACTATCTTTAAACAAACATTCAGCAAATGAAGACAAATGACCTCAAAATGTAAACAATCTATAAATATCTTAATCACAGATAAAATGTATAGTGAAATATAATAAATATATCCTAAAATTGAATATACAAAATTGCAATATACAAAATATATTAGGAAGTAGAAATATCCATGCAATCAATATGACAAAATTAACTCTGCATAGGTGTAAGAATATAGAAATATGAGTATATTCAATATAACAAATATATTTGAATTTGTATAAATATACAAGAATGTATACCAATTTAAATTGACTATAAATAATAAGTCACAAGTGTCACTATTATTCAGTATTATTATTAATGTGAGTAAGCTCACACAAATCTACCTATTATCCCATCTCATCCATTCCCTTTTTTTTTTTTTTAAGAGAGAACACTGAGCTTTCTACCCTCAACCATATACCAGTTATCACCACTAGTAATATCCCTAGCCCTGAAAACAAACTTTGTTGGTAGAGGGGATGTATTTTTCTAGAATTACTTCCAGCTTTCTTTGGGGTGATGTTATTATGTAAAAACTAAAATAATGGTTAAGTTTCAAGATTACTCTTTGGTATAATAGCAGATAGTCTCTGAGTAGTTGATATAGTTTTCCTGACGTTCTTATTTGAAGTTCTGGCCAGAACATTGTAAGAAGGTGCACCATCTCAGCTGACCTTTGCCTTTAAGCACATAGTCAATAATTTTTAAGATACCAGCCACTTTGGAATTTTAATAAATGTGTGTCTACTGTTCTTGTACATTACACAAACTAAATATTGAAATGGTTAAATTGGTTCAAAATGGCTTTCAGGTAGATAATAATCTATCATGAGAGTTTGAAATCACTGCATTTTTCTTAGTAGACTGATTGATTCCAATAAGGGTAAGGGACAGTGACAGTGTCTAATGTGTACAACCTAACAGGAGTGTTACACTGTTTTGTCGATGGGAGAGAACAGGGAACATCTCATGTTGGCTTTATCATCTAAAGCACTAAAATGTACTCAGCTATGGTTAACGTCTGTGGACAGATGATGTGAGCTTATTCCTTATACTACGATTTCATAGCCATACCTCTGTCAATCTTAGGAACAAGTTAACTTTCACTGGGCTAATCCAACTACTACAGTTTCACTGTGGTTTCACGTTTGGGAGCTCTAATTTGTACTCCTGTTGGAACAGAAAAGAGAAAGTTAAAACTAAATCTTACCCAATGTTATGTGGAAAGAGGTTATACAGATATATAGTGTCTATTATAAAAATTTCTTTCTTTTTTATTTAATGTACAGTGGCAGAGTTGAAAAATACAACAGTTATATATGTCTTTGGGAAAATGATGATGGATTTATCTATGTATTCAGCTTATATACTTGACCTACTTTTGGTTGATTCCCTACTATTACAAATCGCAGAGTTTCCATTTATATTTAGTCACTCACCAGGCCAGGTTGCTAAGGAGATGATCCTCTGTGTGTAATATTTTATGTCTGAAAGTCCTAAGATTTTTCAATATATACCTGACATTGTATGTTGATTTTACATTTCTGTTGAATAATTTCCACACTTATCAAAATAAATATCATATGTTGAGTGCATTTGAGAACATATATATGTATATGGATATGATATAGATATATCTTGATAGCCTAGGTTTCAGATCAGTTAGTTAGGAATAAATTATTATGAGAGCACCATTACTATACTTTTAATATTTTCTCCAACATGGTCTAAAGGTTATATTCCTATTGGTGTTATATCATCCTAGAATTAGTTGTCAAACTCCCTATGGCAAACACTTGTAATCAGCGTTTGTTTTCTTTTTTT